ACGTGAGGAAGAAGCAGAACTACCTCAGCTCAGAGGACGAAGAGTTCTGAGGCGCGAGGCATCTGCAAAGTCTCAAGGACTCCTTCGTCTTGGTTTTAGGTCGACCATGCTCTGTGCCGTGTCGTTTTTTATGGATACAAGGTCTCAACAAACTCCATTCAAAAATGCCTGTCATAACGTGGCCCTTTATATGTGTTAAATTGTTCCAGAATAATATTCTAAATATTGAGCTGAGCAGCTCCTCTGCTGCGGTCCTCCATGTTGGATTTTAGTGGAATAAATTTGTGGGGAAAAAGAGGAATAATTATGAAAGCCCAAAGTGTTCAATTAAATAAAATAAATAATCATATGAATAGACTGAACACAGCATATTGACCAATACATTCTGAAATAACTTCAAAAATTAAAGCTTTATTTATTTCAGTGCAGAATATTTGATTTCAAAATGCCCTTTTGCAGAAGTCTGTTTTTATATCATAATGGCATTTTCCCCAATGATGCGTTCATTTGAAAATATCGCTTTTTGTGACACTGGAGTCGTCACAGGCTCCTCTCCACTCAGCCGGTCACCCGATACCAATCATCCGTACAGGCTGAACAACAGCTACCAAATTTAGCCAGCTAGCTCCCATTAGCAGGAGCAACAACAATTCCAGAATAATTTTAAATCAAACACCTAGCTGCTGCAGCAGACCAACATGTAAACTTGTCCAAACCATGTCTTTTATCTGGTCTGAAAGGCTACAAATGCTACGTAGCTACACAGCTAACTAGCTAGGTTGGCATGGATATGAAAAGCTAGTGCTAACGTCAGCTGCTAGCTGGATAATTTACATTAAAGAAAGCCTATCTATAGACCTTGGGGTTTTTTAGCCAACAGGAGCTAGTTAGCTAGCAGTTGTTGAGTCTGCTGAGAGGATGGAGGCATGTGATTGGCTGAAAGGCGAGGAGGCAGCAACAACTCCACTCTTCTTTACTATTTTGTAATATTTTATCATTTTGAAAAATGCTAACATAACATTTAAAAACAGACTTTTGAAAAGGACATTTTGAAGTAAATTCTATAATTAAACAAATGTTAAATAAAAATAAAATTGAAGTATATATTAAATAGTATTTCATAAAAATTGTTGTTTTGTTAATTTATAAAAAATAATTGACAATTTATTCGACACTTTGAAATCCCATAGAATAATCTGAGCCTAATCAGACTCACTCATGCTACCCAGAGAACCAGGGTTACACAAGTAACCTACCTACGTTTTTAATGTTAGAGTTAATAGCATTAATAAGGAGTTTGTAGAATACCCCAGAAAATATTATGTCATGTTCAAATGTGTAAAATGGTGGGGTTTTGAATGGAGTTTGGCACCACTAGTGGTCCAGGATTGTCTCTGTGTGTTTTCATTTTGTATGCAGTGCAAACTGGCCTTTTGACTGGTCATCAGAAGAAGGAAATGCAAACCATGGGATAAACATGGACTAAATCTCTGAAGGTCAGTCGTGGATGGCAGTTATTACATCATCAGGATGGTCTGTTTTAGCACTTTTTAATCTTTAAGACAGATGGCAGGGACACATCTACTACTTTATAAACAGCAAAAGCAAGTTCTGTCAGTAGAGGTAAAGGATCAGTTGCCCTTTTCTAAAAAAGAAAAATCTGAGAATATCTGTTAAATCAAACTTTCCCAAATCCTGTTTATCACATCAGAAAGTACTGATGTGATGTCATGAATGAATGGCAAATACATAATATGTAGGTGCATCCTGGGAAAGAGCAGATTTACATCGGCAATAGTGGCCCAACTGTACAGACTGTGCCTTAAACTCTGGTATCATTAATGTACAGACATGTTATTTTTCAAGGTTTACATCATGGTGATGATGTAATCACATACTGGCACAAATGTGTGATTTGTGCATTTTCATTGCAGCCACACATTGACCATTGTCTTTGCTGTCTGCAGCGTGTGACCCTTGATTGATGGACTGATTGAATTATGTAGTGTCACATAGCCTCTGTCCCGCGGTCATGGAGTCAGTGCGTTGGATGACACGTCAGGAATGTGAGGAGGTGATATTCATTCCAGGCAAAGAGACCACAGCTCAGATGTCTTCAGTGTCTGTTTTTCCAAAATGTCGTTTAAGCCATAGCTGATCTCTGCGTACGTTTTGTAGACCGATGTGTGTGGGCTGTGGGGGATTTATAATGGTCTGTGTATGTTGAGGAATTTAATTTTTCAGACTTCGGTCCGTTTGCTACGAGTCTGCCATTGCTCAGTCTATGCTGAATACTTTAAGGTGGCCTACCTTACATATCTGTTCACATATAGTTTTTAGATGATAATATATACACGATGAAATTGGCTCGACAGATTGTGTCAGGGTGATGATGTCATCACCTGTTGTAACTCTAGAGGACCAACTGAGCTCTAAAAGGCAATCATTCCTTAAACTCTATGTGTATATACGTGATGCTTGAAGATGTATTTTGTAAAGTCTATATGTTTATTAACCTGTTTACAATGTATCATTGCTGAAAATAAATCTATTTGGTACTTTTTTTACTTTAATAAGTTCTTCAGTTAATTCTTTTTGTGATGGAAAAAACATATGATTCTCTAACTCAGCCTGTGATTGGTCAGAAGTACTGACAGTACTGTGAAGTGTTTATACATTTAAATAGAGCTAAAAATTATTGAAAATGCATTCCAGTACAACATGAAGTCTAATTTTCTTTAATCCATGTATTAATACAGGAAATGGAAACAGATATAGTATGTTTCCAAAGTCCCAGTAAACCCAGTAAGACAAACAGCCCAGGTTGTAAGTTCTGTTTCTCATAAAGCATTGTCACCTCCTCTCTCAAAGTGCTTTTCACTTTTGTAGCTCTCACTTTTGTATCAGTAAGTTTGTTAATATTTCTAATACGAATCTTTCTATCTTTTTCCAGAGCACTTTAATAAACAGAAAGAACATAAAATCATAAAGTGTGTATCCTGCTGTTTGATCATTGTGCTTCACACCTGAAAACACTCGTTGGGATGAAGTTTGCTTTGAATCATGAGAATATGGTGAACGTTGATGTGTGTGTTAGCAAAAACAAATTCAAGTTCAGTTCTATGAGTATGGTCACCTTTTCAATTACATTTTATATCATACTATACTATAACTTTTTTGGCATTATTTATGACATACTATGAATTATTTATGACATTTTTATGGCATTTTTCACAGCATACTATAATATTACTTACTATTGACATTATCATGACACACTATACGATAACTTTTTTATAACATTTTTTATGGCATGCTATACTATGACTCTATGGCATTTTCATGACATATTATAGTATTCATTCTTATGAATACTTTTTCATAAGAATGACTTTTTTTGTTACATTTGATTTTTATGACATGCCACATTGAGTTTTTTATGACATTCTATACTATGACATTTTTTACAGCGTGATATACTATAACTTTAGTACATTTTGTATTAAAAGTCTTTTATGACGTCCTATACTTGACATTTTTCATGACGTACTATACTATGACTTTCTATGACATTTGTTATGGCTACTATACTTTGACTTTTATTTATTTTTTACATTTTTCATTACATACTTTACAATGATTTTTTTTTAATGTCATTTTTTTAATGGCAACCCAGTGGCTATGACTTTTTTATGACAGGCTATACTATGTTGTTTTTTAAAGCATACTATAGTATAATTTTTTATGACATTTCCTACAGCATGCAACACAAGACTTTATTATGACTTTTTTTAATAAAGTGCTATTCTCCGACTTTTTATGGCATTTTTTCTTGTGTGCTATACTATGACTTTTTATGACATAATATACTTGTTTTATTATGATATATAATACTAAGACATTTTTTAAAGCATACTATAATACAACTTTTTCAATTACATTTTGTATGGCGTACTATACTATTACTCATTTAGGGCATTTGGTAGAGCATACTATACTAATGACATACTATGACATATTTTAAAGCACACCATAGTATGTTTTTCTTTTGACATTTTTCATAGTGTACTATATTATGACTATTTAATATTTTTCATGGTATACTGCACTATGATTTTTTTATATTTTTTATTACATAGTATACTAAGACTTTTTAATGGCATACAAAGCTATGACATTAATTTCGGTATACTATGCTCTGACTCATGAAAATTTTCAGGACAGTATATTAGGACTTTTTTAAAATGGTGTACTCTTCTATGACATTTTTATGATATACTACTCCATGCCTTTTCTTTGACATATTCAGTGGCATACAATACATTAAATACTATGATTTTATATTTTCACAGCATATTATTATGACTTTAATGACATTTTTTATGACATACTATTGACTTTTTGACACTAATTCCTTTTGTATGGCATACTATATTGTGGTTTTTCCTTGACATTTTTAAGACATATTATACTGTGAGTTTTAGTGACTTTTTTACAACATAATATACTGAGTTATTTTTATGATACACTATACTTTGACTTTCTTTAATATAGCGACTGTTTTATCAACAGGAGGTCAGTGATTCAGGGGGTCCTTAGTGTTACTGCATGTGGTACTGTTTGTTCAAAAATTGACTGAAAATACACATGAATCCAATATAAATTGCCTTTAGCAGCAACTTATCTTTGTGAAAATGAATTTCCTTCTTACCTACCTGAAAAGCAAATACAGTTAAAGACAGAAGCTCATATGGCCCTCTGCCTGACAACCTCCCTCTGCCCAGAGTAATATGTAGGGGGTCCCTGTTATGTTTCTCTTTCGGCTAATGAGTCCTTGGCCTAAAAAAGTGCCAAAACACCCCTGCTGTGTATGGAAGGGGTCTGAAAAACAGTCTTTAAAAAGGTGCTAAATTTAACTTCAGGATTCCTGCAAGAGGGAGGTCAAGTTAAATCCAAATAACTTTCTTTTCACTTTTCTTATTGAGCAACAAATCAAAAAATCAGCCTTGTTTTGATATTTTATTAAGAACACTGAATAAAAAACAAAACAAAAAAACACTTAGATCAGTGCAGTCAGGTGCCGCAGAAAGTTTAGTAAAAATATTCCAGTGTCGCTCAGAGTCTAGATAATGCAGATCACAATTTAAGTTAGATAAGTATGATTTCAAAAAAGCAAACTTAAGTCAGTCAACATTAAATTTGATTTGCATAATACATATTACAGTAAAAACAAAAAATTAAAAACCATTATGAATCCTATCTACGAAGGCATGTGATGTAGGTTCAGCTGTGATGCTTTACATCCTGTAGAAAGGCACCCTGATGAAGAGTTAGCTAAAACAAAATAAAATGTATACAGTAACAGCACATTAAGGTAGAAAGAAAAAGAAGATGTCAGCTGACTGATCATTTTGGTGGAGCAGATGCTGAATAAAAATATGAGCTCCCTGGTCAGCAACACACTGCTCAAACTGTTGTGTCCGCAGCATGCAGCTGTGTCCTTGGTCCATGACCACCAGATGTTTTATTACTTGCTGGGTGCAAACACTGTAAAGAAAAAAATAAGGTTACAACAACAGTTAGGCGTTATGCCACCCCTCAGGTTTCACAGAATCAGGAATGTGATCAAGACAACATAAAGAGGGAAGTGGTCAGGATATTTAGACATTTGTGAAGATTAGTTAGTGTTTCCCTAATACTGTGTTTTGTTTTGTCGTCTGCTGAGAGTCATGTTTGAAGGACTGAAATCAAGAGAAAAGAGAAGCTGTGACATCAGACAGTATACTCACTCCTCTCCCTCAGGCCTTGGCCGAAGCTGTGCACCAGTCTGATGAGGCCCCAGAATAAAACCACTTTAATCACCAGTGAAATAAAAGCTCCGGTGACGGCGGCGGCCTCCAGGGTGTATGACGTGTCCTCGAACCATTTCACTGCCATCTGTAAGTAAGGCAAACCACTATTTTACTGCAGTTATCCATACTGAATGTATAGGAATGATTTTCTTGAATGAATCTACTGAAATGTTTGAACTAGAGGAAAACTGGCAACTCACCGTGTAAATCAGATAAACAAAGTAGGCTAGTTGAGGAAGATTTTGCACCATGAAGACCCAAACTAAGACCTTGACTTCCTTTAAAACCTGGAAAACACCAAGTAGTTACAACCACAGACTGCTTCTGAACTTAACATGTGCTCCTGACGGTTTAATGCATCCTGTGTGATATTTTCTAATTGGTTTTATAGCAGTTTCACTAATGAAGAAGATGGATGAAGATCACTCACTGCAACAGCCCCGACAGCAGCGGTCAGGCAGGCCCACACCACCCCGACACCCAGGATGATGCTGTGGGTAGCAGACGAGGCCGATTTCCACGTCATGATCAGGATACACAGGCACAACTGAAACACACCAACAGTATGTCTTTAGTGAAGTCAGTAGCTAATTTGAGGATATACTCGGATTTCAGTTTGTTCTAAAGTCACACACACAGGCATTTTGTTGGCTTGTGATGAGAAACATGCTGGAGGAGAGGCACGCAGACCAGTTTCTCCAGCAACACCAGCTGATTTGGAATGAATGCAACCAAGACACGTTTCCAATGTGGGACACGGGACACGGGACCTGACTGCAAACCAACTTGAAAAACTTGCTGTTCTCATTGTTGTTACTCTCTCCATGCTCATAAAATTTAAATCACACGTCACAAAAAAAATCATAGTGTATCACACACACAAACACAGCTATATCGTATGGACTCCTGTCTCACTTCCCGGTTAAGTACTTCAAGTACTAGTATGTTTTCTATTTTTTAATTAAGTCATTAAATAACATTGCTATCAGGTGTTATATGTATTAATCAGTCTGTTTCTCTGTCTGTTTCTAGTTTTCTTTTATGTTTGTGTGCTATTTTGTTTTTATTTGATGTCGACTCCGTCAGTTTTCTGTCAACTGTCATCGAGAAGTCAGCTATATTTATTAAATAAATATTCATAATAATTTGTAAAATGAGTTTATCTCAACAAAAAGTTGCTATGGTACACCTGATGTGTTTTTTTTTTTTTTTTTTTGATTAAATAAAATTAGATTTTTATGAAAAAGAGAAATTACGTTATCAACAGAAATTACAAGTGGGCAACATTATAATGGCATCTCTTGTATAAAATGATTTTAAACTTTTTGATTATAATACAGCTAAATAACACAAAAATCATTAAATATTTACTTCATGATTTATAATATGATTCTACGACTTTTTTGTGTGATGGGCGGCACGGTGGTGCAGTGGTTAGCACTGTCGCCTCACAGCAAGAGGGTTCCTGGTTCGATCCCGGGTGTGGGAGCCCTTCTGTGCGGAGTTTGCATGTTCTCTCCGGGTACTCCGGCTTCCTCCCACAGTCCAAAGACATGCAGATTGGGGACTAGGTTAACTGATAACTCTAAATTGTCCGTAGGTGTGAATGTGAGCGTGAATGGTTGTTTGTCTCTATGTGTCAGCCCTGCGATAGTCTGGGAACCTGTCCAGGGTGTACCCTGCCTCTCGCCCAATGTCAGCTGGGATAGGCTCCAGCCCCCCCGCGACCCTCAAGAGGATGAAGCGGTTAGAAGATGGATGGATGGATAGACTTTTTGTGTGCCTGATAGAGCTGACAAAATTCAAGTTTTCAGCTGTAAAAAATACTATCGAATAACAAATAAATCACTGGGAGGTCGGCCCAACCCAAGGTTTAACAGTATATAGTTGGAGTCAGTGGTGAACAGCACCTGAGTGTAAAGAATGTAAAAAAAAAAAAAAACATCCTAACTATCTGCATTTATGTATAGAGGAATGCACATGAACCTGAGCCTGAAGGTCAAGGGTCACCATAGAGAAGCACAGGTTGAGCAGGAAGTATTGCTCCTGAAGGCTCTCCAAGGCCCCGCCCACACGGAACGCCATCATGTTGGGCCTCCGGATGAGCAGCATGGTGCAGAAGACGTGGATCACGCCCAGACACATGATGCACACAAAACGAACCTGCGACACAAACAGATCACAGCGAGTGAATAAACTTTGATTAACGCGTAATTCTATATATACAACATATGATGTGTGAGTGCTGCCAAAACAACGATACCTAACACTAATTTAGTTTTGTAGGTGTTCAGTCATAAATCAAAGTGTTGGATAAACTGGAATTTTGACCTGAGGGTGGCGTGACAGGAAAAGTCAAGGGATCGCCAAAGTCAGTGGGATTAATCCTCTGGAGACCATGAATATCACCATTTCATGGAAATCGATCTGATAGTTGAGACTTCAATCTGGACTCAAGTGATGGACTTAACATCCATAAGGGACAGATGAAACGATCGTGGGGATGAATGTAACCAGTGTGGAACCAGCCCCATTTAAAGGCAGCAGGCTCAAAGAATCAGAGTGCTTTACCTACTTGGGGAGTATCACTGACAAACAGGGGGGTAATCTTAAAGTCTCTAGTGTAAAATCAGTGCTGCTTAATGGTGTCAAGATCTGGAGAACGACTGACACCGCAATCAATAAAGTGCAAAAATGTATCTGCAACTGCTGAGCATTTTTTTTTAAATATCCACTGGCCAGACAAGAACAGCAATAATGATCTGTGGCTGAGGATACAGCAACTACCAGCAGCAGATGAAATTGGAGAGAAGATGGAGATGGATCGGGCACACACAATACGAAACCCAGTGCCGAACACCACCGGACAAGGTTTTATTATGACTGAGAAATCTGGAGGTCCTTTGCCGAGGGCCTAAACTTCAGTGGTAGTGTTTGGCATAAGTAAGTAAAGTGATGGACTGACAGACCAACTGTCATCCATGGAAATATGACACATGCGTAGTGTTTCCTGCGAGGAGATAAAAACTATGTAACATTATTCAGGGCAGAGGTCAGTAAGGGTCTAAAGGTCACTGATCAGCAGCCAAGTACTTCTTTATTGGCGTGTTTATCTACGTGGTTGTCATGTGTCTCCCGTTATGGACGTCAAACAGCTGGCTGGAATCCTGGATTTTTCGTGTTATCTCTGACAATCCCTCATCAGCCTGTTTTTTTTTTCTTTCTTACTAGTGTGTAGATTTTTTTGTCCACGAAACTAAACAGCAGTGTTTTCTCCTTCGGTACAAGCCAAAATTAGTTTCTCAGAATTTACCATCAGTCCACTTCAAACTTATCAAAGCAAATGATTAGTGTAGATTATTAATGGACATAGATTTAACTCAGTAGTATTTGTGACAGATGGACAGTCTGTGTGTAAAAGTGTAATCTATAAGTATAAAGCAATAAATTTCCATAAATTGAAAAAAAAAAAAAAAAAAAAAGATTTGTAAACACACTAAAATATTCTGTAAATATAAAACTGATCTGAAAACACGCAAACAAATTCAAAAAAAAAAAAAAAAAGACTCAGTGAGTGTAAAATGCAAATCTGCAAGTATGGAACTGAGATTCACAAATATCTGTTTGAAAGTTAGGAATGTGCCGTCTGACAAAGTGACAGCAGATAACAGCAGGGCCGCTTCCTGATGGAACTGGTTAACCATGTTCCCACCATCTCAGCCGAGGACTCTGACAACACACTCAATACCAACATCAACAACCTGATGATGGTGACCTACCTGGCTGACCTCACCCAGGCACAGATTGCTCTTAATGAGAAGCTGCTCTGAGGGGACTTCATTGATATTTATCATTCATATTTAATTTTTGTACACTTTTCTACAAATGTTCTGAAGGTATTCACAAATGTTTTTCATTTAATTTCAAATTAATTAAATGTATTCAAAGATTTTTATTTATTTGTGGAATTTTTCTGTGTAACACACAGATTGTCAATATGTTTACACAAATAATATCTCACTCCATAATGATTCAGCCTCTGTAAACATTAACTCAGAGCCGTGACATCCAGCCAGAGATACAATGATGAACACAACTACATGTGACTGATACAAACAGCAACAGTGACATCAAGTGGTGAAAGCGTGACTCCTTTCAGCAGGATGAGAGCTGTGAGGATCAGCTGTTGTTTCCCCGTCATTAATAAAGTGAGATTATGCAAGATGGCAGCTTTTGAGAGAATATCCTATAGCTTAATAAATGAGGCAGAATAGTATAATAATAAATGAGTTATGTTTCTGTGGTGCCACTCAGTGCAGAGGGGCAGTGAACACAGCTGTCTGAGCACAGGGGGAGTGATTTGGATTTTGCTCGGTACCAGGCTCATAACATACATGGTGTGCGAATATTAATGTGTTTGTTGCAAAATGTTACGTTCAGTTGTAAACATAAAGAGGCATGTTGTCGGTAGTCTGTAATGAGTGCAGGAGAGACATTTAACAGTGGTAAAGTTAACTTACATGTCACATGTCAATGCTGTTATTTTGATTTACCCCAGTTTATTGTTTTTATCATTATGGTTTATTTACTTCTATTTTTTTCTATTAGTATAAGTCAGTCCTTACCTATTCCATTATTTTTTTTGTTGTTGTTGTTCAGGGAATTTTTTTGTTGTTGAATTTGAAATTCAACAAACTTAAGTCATTTAAAAGTCTTTTTTTTAATGAGTAGATCAAAATGTTCATAAATTCATCTGAGTTATTAATCATCATCATCATCATCATCATAATAATGCAATTCACAAAGTATTTTCAAATATTTTTTATTAGGGAAAGCATGATAAACATTTTTGTAATTTGCTAGAGTTATATATGGAATAGCACTCAGTTTTTTGTTGGTCAAACTACATCTGACTTTATTGTATCCCTCCACTTCTGAAACCAAATCTACACCCTTGCCTAGTCTAACAGTCCCAGTCTCAGATCAGTCTACAGCACCACATCATCCAAAGTGTGTGCCCTGATCAGAGGCTGGGCCTTTAAATATCAGTCAGTGGCTACTAGAAAGCAAATTTTACATTACAACATTGAAACAACACCTTGATTTATACTGGTGTCCCACTGTCCTCCCATCATATGTATATGTATATCAAGTTGTCCAAATCCATGGGACAGTTAAAGGTCAGATCTGAGCTTTGTGACAAAGTTACAGCAATTAATATGTTTTATACATGATGTTGACTGTTGTTGAGTTTAAATGAAAAAAAAAAAAGATTAGTACACATTTTATAATTGATTTAAACTTTAAAAAAGAAGCAGAGTTTAAAGAGAATACGATGGAATTTAATTTGTGTATAGTGAATTCTAAAAATCTGAAGTTCTATATTTTCCCTGTCTCTAATGTAATTCTGTCTGTTATGTCATAATGGCTGTCTTGATCCTGACATCTTGGGGCCGTGCTGGAAACACGTGTTCTCACTTTAACATGTTATCTCTTGGATTCTTGTTTGTTTTTAGATCCTTAAAAAAAATCAGTACATCAGTCAAACTGATAAGAAAACACAGAAGATTCAGAAACTTTTAACGTCAGCTTCCACAGCTGTGTTTTTATTATCATAACTATAATAAATAAATAAATTATTATTCATTTTAAAAACTCCTCATGCAGTGTTTTGCCTCAGAGAGTCCTGAGCAGTAGAGAGTGACCTACCAGCAGCTCCTGCTTGCCCTCTGACCCCTGCACGGAGAAGTTGACCACCGATCGAACCATCACCACCAACACGCTGAGCCCAAACACAACCAGCTCCTGTTTGTTCTCCTGCAACACGCCTCGGACGATGTAGTAGATGCAAAACACTGTAGAGGACAGACCGTACAATGCACACAAACAACACAGGTCATTTTATTACAACACTCGTTTCTTTATGCAGCTACACAGATGATCTTTTCTATTAATTATTTCGTGTATAAAATGTCAGTAACAATAACAAACACCTATAACAAGCTACCAAAGGCCAAATATTTATCTAAAGGTTTCTTATAATTCAAATATATTAATTAATGTGATTTCTTGTCCAGTGTCTGCTGGAACCGGCTCCAGCCCTTCATGACTCTGCACGAGACAAGTGGGAGTAAAAAATAGCTTTTTAACAAAGTTTGTCTGCATTGAATCAATTATTTTTTCACAAAATTTCTCCAGAGTTTAAGTTTATTGGTCTATGAAATTACTTACAAACAACAACTAGCTATGGAAGGTGGTGGGGGTAGACTCTGAAACTATGACGGAGGCTTTATTGTCATTTGACTTTTCAGTGTCTGTAAGAAATAAAATAGTAATTACTGATATTAATGGGCAGTATAGTCCTGAGTGATGAAAACAAGAAAGGAAGTCCTTTCTAATATGTTTGCGTGCACACTACTACTACTACTATCCTGTTTTTAAAAAAAAAATCATATTCAGGCTTGCTGTGATTTGTGTGCTGTCTAGTTCAGCAGTTAAGGAGGAACCCAGTTTGCTTTGTTGACTTCTTCATTTGATCACTACTGACGTGGAAATAAAGAGCAACAACACAGTTTTTCCTTACTTCACTGAGCTTATCATTAGTGATCCTGAATTACTGGTATCACGAAGCATGTTATTAACTGTCTTTGTTAACTCTGGGTTTTACAGATCTGAGCATGTTCACTTGAAAAGAGGAAGTTGTCGATTATAAGCAAAATCATCAGAACTGAGAGCAAGGGACTCAAAAGCACTGTTCACCCCCAAATAAAAAATACTGATTTTTCCTCTTACATGTAGTGCAGAGTGTTGGAGATATCGGCTGTAGAGTTGTCTGCCTCCTCTTGAATATAATGGAAATAGAAAAATACATTTAAAAAACTCAACAGCAATGTCTCTTTCTAGAAATAGTGTCCTGATTACTCACACTCGCCGCCACGCATAAGGAGGCATACATCTACTGTTAGCTCACCTAGCACCACTGAGCTAGCTAACGTTACAGCTCAGCTGAGGAGGACGTCATTAATGTTTATATCTGTTACTGTAATGAGCGCAAGCCTCTCGTCCATGAGTAGGTGTTCACTTCCTTCTGCATGATGATACTTTTGGCGCATGTAGTTTGGTAGGAAGAAAATAGTTCCTACATGAAACTGCTCCCAACAAGGTCTGTGGATTATCTTTAGTAAGCAGGTCATGATATCTCGAAAGACACATTGCTGCTGAGGTTTTTTAAATGTACTTTTTTGGCGCTTTGAGCACCACAAGCTGAGTGCCATCTAGTTCCATTATATTGTAGAGAAGGCAGACATCTCTATGGCCGATATCTCCAACACCTGGAAACTCACACCAAAAAAATATGAACTGATAAAACCACTACAGGTAAGAGGAAAAGATATGTATTTCTGATTTTGGGATGAACTATGCCTTTAATATGACATGCGATAAAACACTGACACCTGCTTTTGTGCTTTATTTCTTACCACTATTATAAACTCAGCACTTTTGTCCATTTTGGGAGCAATGATTTAATTTTTCTGGTGATCTGAATGCTTGGCAGCCAGTTTGATCTGATTCACTGAAGTTACCATGCTCTGTGCAGCGTTACCGTGGTGATCTACCCCAATTACAAGCATGACAGTCTCATGACAGAAAACCTGATTTAAACCCCCAAAGCAGCTGACTGACCAAATTATCTTGCTTTGGGGATAATCAGGACACAGCAAAATTGATCAAATTTGATCATCAATGGGATATATGATGTGCTCTCTCCTCTGCTGCAGGGGGACAACTGCACCCATAGATCTGTCAGACTCATCAGCACAGTATTAATAACGGAGCAAGATATGGAATCAAACTGCTAAATCTGTGTGTATGCAGACGTTGAACAGTCTGTGTGAACAAAGAAACATTTTGTGCCGAAACAACTAGTCAATTACTGTTTAAAGGATAACTGTCAAAAACTCACTTGTTCCAGCTTCTAAATGTATTTCCTTAGTCTCCTACTGTATGATAGTAAACTGAATATATTTTAGTTCTGGACCTTTAGTCATGAATACAGACATTTTAAGATGTTATGTACAATGGGTCCTGGGAACTTGTATTTTCTGACTTTTTACAGACCAAATGATTGATCAAGAAAATATTTGGCAGACTAATCCATAAGGAAAAATACTGTGAGCTGTAACTCTAATTTCATTAACACAGTTGTGGCTATTGTAAAGGTTTAACTGTAGACTGATGGAAGTGATACAGCAGCAAATCTATCATTAAGAAAAGATGAGACAGTAAATCCATCTGGGCAAAATGCAAAGTTAAAGTGCAGCAGTTTTCATCACATGATTACACTGGAAAACTTCTGCTTTTTGCAGACAGTGTAGTGTGGCAGTTAAACGGGCATGGTGTTACATTGACATCCTGAGGACACTGACAGTGTCCTCAGGATGTCGAGTGATTGTACTCACGTATTCCAACCAGCTGGATGAGAGACACAGTGAAGTTGTCCTCATCAGACACACCAGTGTCCTTGTGCTGCTTGTAGATGCTGTACAGGGTGAGGCTGAGCAGTGCCAGCAGAGACGCTATGGTGAAGCAGAAGTAGAGCTTGAGGTGCCATGACAGCTCCGACCAGGGCTTTATCTGCAAGAGTGTGGACATGGAGAGGACAAAGAATGTGAAACAACCTGTGATAAGGAAGACGCTTTCATTGGAACTTTTGTCTCCAAGTTCAGTTTCACACGTATGAAAATATAAACAGAGTAGGGCAGAGGGACCGTGATTTCTGGGACTTTTAATTTTAAAAGTTTTGAAATTGGTTTAATGATGATGATTTGAGTGTAACGCCCATCTTCACACCCACAGAGTGTGTTTCAGTCTTCCTCTTTTTCACCTCTACTTTCAGAACTACTCATGTTTTAGTTTCGTCTCTGCTGCAGCAGCTCACCGGTCCACATGGTGTCGGGATCAGTTCCTGGTGTCTTGGCCTCAGGTTTGGAGACAGAAGGTCTGGGCCCTCCTGTGGTTGCCCAGAAATCTGGTTGCCCAACAAGGGACTACGGTTTAAAAAGAAAAATAAAGCATTATTCACAGGAGCAGCTCTAACTGTAACGTGATGTATATAGGACTGAGAGAAACAGTAGTTTAAATTATGCATTAAGGCACTAAATCATCTGATTGTCTGTATCCCTGATGACTAGACATGTACAGACTATTGGACCAAAGTATATAAAGAATATGACTTATGTAATGTCATGTTGCATGTCAACAAATATACATATCTTGTAGCAGGCATGTCCAAAGTCCAGCCCAGGGGCCAAAAGTGGCCTGCAGACCAATTTTAAACAGCCCTCGGTTGCCCTTGTCTATCTAAAATTCACTATATGTGGCTCACCACATATTATTGGTAAATTAAACAAGATCATTTTAAACATGCATCAAGTAGAAACTCTGCAAGGGGAACTGATGCGTTTTCATAAACAGACGATGGAATGGTTCCCTAAAAGCGCCCATTTCCTGCTAGGTGGCAAATACAGCCACAGCAAAGAAGTGTATAATCAACAGTGAAGGCCACTGCCCTCAGAAGTGGTGAACAGTTGAATACATTTTCAATGAAAGATGAAACAGCTGCTTTTGTCTTGTTTGTTTTGTGATTTTTTTAAAGATCCCATTTGATGCGAGGAGCAGCTGGCCCCAGGTATTTTCATATTATCTGAGCTGGTCCCCAATTCAAAAAAAATTGGACACCTCTACCTTGTAGAGTAATATTTTATTCATTTATTCTTTTTTTTTTTCAAGGACAATGGTCATCGATCAACATGCTGTAAACAGAGATATAAAATACAAAATCAAAATGAATAAAGAAGGAAAGCAACAAACTGTGAGCAAAGGTAAGTACACAAGCAACAAGAGCAGAACACAAGCAGAGGAAAAAGATAAATATATATGACTGTATGTAGTGTAGAAATACTCCAGACTGAGCAAGGGAATAAAGTAGAGTACAGTAGGCTTTTTTCATGCAGACGTTTTGAGTTATGGTAGGAAAAGTACAGGTGTTAACAACAACGTGAAAAGGATGATTCATTTCATTGTTCAGAACTGTGCACTGACATGTCAAAACATCCTCTGAAAAAAGGCCTATAAAAAATACTGAAAATATTTACAACATGAAACAACATGTTCAGTGATCGCACATCTGATGTTTTAAGAGATTTGAGAACAGAATTAAATAGACCTTATAACAAAGTAAGTTACAAAATAACTTTCAAGTGCTTCGCAGGTCGATCAAAACAGAGCATGAGACAAACATCTAACAAACCAACAAAACACACAAAACATTAATAAACATTATGTCTGCACAAGTGTCTATTAAGGGGCCTTTCTGAGCCCTGGGGGCCACAACATTGACGACTAAGTCAGGAGAATGCTGAAACTGACCCTGCTGTAAAACTAGAACAGAGGGGGATATAGATCTACACAACAGTCAGCTTTTTCATTAATGATTTGTTTAAGCATGTGAGTATAGAGTTAGAACACACCCGTAACTCACTGCAAAGCAGGGTGTGTCAGAAAGTTGGGAAATCTGGATGACAGTCACTTGACAAGTTGTTCCAAGATAAGTTTAGTTTAGTTGCACATACATGTATAGACAATGCAGGAAGAGACATTACAAGTTAAAGCATTGTGCAGGAGAGGTGAGAAGCTAAAAAAGCTTATGAAGATACCCTCCCCTTGTGAATAACAATGATAATACATAAAGAGAAAAAGAGAAAAGTGAAGATTGCATAATTGAAAAAGAGTTCCAGACTAGGAAGTAACACAAAATTATTAGAGATGTACAATGTACCAAAAAACCCCACTATAGACAATATTTTTGAATAATGATCAGTTTTGAATTCATTATGTACTACTATTGTTATTATTATTATCATTATTATTAATGTAAATTAAGTACATTTAAAAAAAGTGCTTCATGAGGCATCTCTAATACCAAACTGAAAATATTACAAAAATGAATTAAATGGTCAAACATCTTCATATATTTAGGCTCTTAAGGATCTATTTTTCAATTTACAGTTTTCTTAATTCACTTATGCACATTTCTATATCAGTTTTACCAGCCTGTGTCAGGTTTCATTCCTCCACAGCCAACATGTGGTTATTTTAATGGCAGACAGTCAACAGATGAGCCATAGACTGCTTATTAACACTTTATATGCAACCTGTGAGATGGCCGTTTAGATTCAGTATAAAACATGATGTTTTATTAAACATCACTGATGGATGTCACGAGTTGTAAGTGCTAGCTAGCAGCGCAGCATCCAACTACCTCATATCTGACCAGAGTTTGACACATTTCTAATGACGCAAACTGAATAGCTTAAAACACTGTAATAAATAAGTCTGTAAACTTCTCTATTGACCTTATCTCGTCCATTTCCTTGCGGAGCAGCCTGTAGACCCGGAGCTTACATTCCTGCGACTTTGTGCTGGCTGTCCGCCTCCAGCTGTCAGAAGTTCAGTTTCACATCTGACAGTATGAACGGGAACAAGAGCCTGTTGTGGCAGGAGTTCTTCTTCTGCTGCTGCTTTACTGTCCTCTTCTTCATCTTTTCAGCTTGGCTGCCCGGAAGCGCTGCTGCCCCCTGGAGGACGACAGAGAAACTTTCTTGAATGTAGCTAGTCGGTTAGTTGTTAGATAATTCCTCATAAAACTTATAATTTTGCCTTCGTATGTTTATTAAGTAAACAATTTACTCCTTAACACACTGCTGTTTAGTTTTGAAAGTCGCCAATTAAACTGACTAGACACTGTTGAAAATGATGGTTGTTAGACGAAAGCGTTTACTGCCATCCAGTGGTAACAGCGAGGAATTGCAGCACCACAGCATCAGGAAAAGTAGTGTTAAAATATTGGCATTATTTACAATCACATTAGGGTACATGCTAACAGTACCTGTACTCAAACATCATTCACTTGGTTTGCAAACAATACAGTTTAATTAATTCAAGTAGTCACTGCATTTTTGCTTATCAGTCACATCTATGGATGCTGTATCACTGGCTCCACATAGCCTACAGTGCTGAAACATCTGGAATGTAAAAGTACCTAAGTTAGAATGCTGTTTATTGATCAGCACAATCATGCCACCTAATCTGGTGTCTAAGCTGAAAGATTTGGTCTCTGCAATTCCATCTGCAGGTGGTTATTTGACATTTTGACAGGTAGACTTCAGACAGTGAGTCGGAAACAGCTACTCTGGTGCTCCTCAAGGTCGTTGTCTCGGTCTCTTGCTTAACAGTCGGTAGACATATGACTGTGTGGCCAAAAATCATACCAACAGCATTGTGAAATGTGCATATGACACTACATTAATTGGGCTCATGACAAACAACAACGAACATGCATATAGGAATAAGGTGAGGGACCTGTCCATATGGTGTAACAACAACAATCTATCCCTTAATGGTGAGAAAACAAATGAGCTCATCATTGACTTCAGAAAAATAAAACTATTAAGCCACCTGTTTACATAAATAAGACCCCAGTTGAAATTGGAAATAGCTTTCAGTTTTAAGGCATCCAAATCACAGACTTCCTCCCCTGGTCTCTGAACATCAGTTGTGTTACCAAAAAGGCCCAACAGAGACTTTACCTTCTGAGGCGTCTGAAGAAACATGGCATGTCCCCAAAATCCCTCATCAACCTCTACCAGTCCACAATAGAAAGCATCTTCACTGGATGCATGCTGGTACGGTTTGGCAACCTTACAGCACAGGATCATGAACACCTGATGAGGATAGTGAAAATAGCATCAAAAGTCATAGGATCACCATCAGCTCAGATACAGGACATCTACACCATCCGCTGCAGGAAGAAAGACCTTTGTATTTTCAAGGACACTAGTCACCCTGCACACAGCCATTTCTCTTTTCTTCCCTCAGGGAAGCATCTGCAGAGCATCAGAGCTCAGACCTCCCACCTCACCCACCTTTTTACCCCCAGGCAGTCAGACTTGTGTTTTATGCTGCTATTATCTTAATTATGTGTTGCTATTGTTTCTCAGAGTATGTATTTTTATTTATTGTGTTATTTTAGGTTTTCAGCGCTGAGAGAGAGCCAGGGCATAAAGTATTTCATTACATTAAATGTACACTGTACTTTTTAAATGTAGCTATATGACAATAAACTTGAAGTTGAACTTTTTTTTCTGTTTTTATTTTACTGCACTATTTTGAAAGTAGTCACCTCATTTATTTATCTGTTTGTTTAAAGTGGAAGAGTTAAAGGCAAACTCCAACACCAATTTTGCACACAGAAGCCAGTTTACCAGTCATGGGAAGTGCTACTCACCCTGTGAAAACAGCTGGTTAATGTCTTCTGTGGCTCTGGAGGAGCTTTAGAGAGAGTCTTAAGATGCTATAGGTTGCATTATGGGAAAGCATTTTGGGAGAATGACCTACAAAAGTCAGAATGTCTTCGGCTGCTTTGCTTTGTCCATTCTTTTTAGAAATCTGAATCTTACAAGTCCCCCAACTTAATGAAAGTGTAACTCTGAATCACTGAAATACCCCTTTGACATCATTTGTGCTGAACCAATTCTGATAATTGGAGATCGCCCTCCAGTGGTCACAGTGAGAAACTACAACTCCACAAGTGTTTTTATAGTATTGGCATTGGTATCATTGTTATAAAATAATAATATTATCAAGTATTTGGTATCATATAGCAGTGGGCACAAGTTGTATCAATGTAATCATATCAAACTGACAATAACAATAGCAACACAAGTAGGGGTATTGTACTGTATTTAACAATTATAACAAGTGTTCTGGTGTAGAGCCCATTTGATTTGTTTTTACCAGGGTACTAATGCATCTGGTAAAAATAATCCAAGTGAGAAAATAAATTATTAGTTGTTATTAGCCATCACTATTACACATACCCATGTCCATTGCAAACAATATGGCACCAAGAAAACAGGCAGCAAAAAATCGGGAAAGCACGGTAGAAAAGTTGGATGATCTTCTTTAATAAATAGCCACAGGTTACATTAATGATGTAATGAATTACTGACTGAAATGATAAATGGATTTAACCATTGAACAAACATGACTCTCCCATTTTACCTCTCTAGCTGTCCCATTTTACCTGAACATATCATTGCACTGAGGTAGGGGTTTGTTTGGAGGTCCAAAATTTCTGAATTATTTTACTTAGCCTAGTAAAATATTTTCTTTATAGAAATATAATGATCCACAGCAAGGTCTAAAAATAACACTTGTGTCCCAAGTGTCCCACATTACCTCACCCTACAGTCACAACCGTTACAACACATCTGCAACTTACCTTGTGAATGTCACTGAGGTTGCCCCTTTATGACAATTATTGCATTTCTGTTGGCAGGGCACCTAGACTGTATATACTTATTTATATAGCCTACAGTTTATATTAGAGTAAGATGGGGGTAAGATGCCCCCACCCCCTTAATTCATTTCCTGACCAATATATGGCACTATATCTACTCTCAACACATGTACTGGCTATGCACCAGCACCACTCGCTCCTGACTGGTGCGGAATGGTGACAGAAAGCGCCACAGTGGATGCCTGCCGCCCAGCATTGCTCTAGCTATGCTCTAGTGAATTGTGACATTTCATCTGAATTGCTGCATTCCTAAGCCACCAGAACTGTTGTAGGATAAACTGATCTAATTTTGTGTCACTGAAAAATAGTGATCTATGTATTTGTAATACGTTACACATAGAAATATTTGATATACATATGATGATGGGGGATTTGTGGGGAGAATCATTCAATTTATTTTGAAAGAAAAAAAGATTTTTTTCCTTTTAAGTAAAAATGTAAAGCTGGATCCTTGAGGCAGGAAGCCCCCTTAGAAAAGCCCCTTGGGCACCCTGGCTCAAAACATTATCTAGTTTGATTATCCATCTTATCTTTCTTGCTATATATGTAACGTTATATGTGACTTTATATGATTCATATATAATAGTAGAAGTGCAATACTGTAGTTTCGACAGCTTAATAGCATTATGTGCTAGCTAGTTAGCAATCATTAGCATTACTAACTATGTAGCATTAGCCAACATTTTTAGCAAGTTTGCTGAAGGAAGACATGAAGACCTGAAAAAAGCAATTACCCTGGAATGAGGGCTCAAAGACTTTTAGATAATCAATAAATGGGTCAGGGTTTGGATTTAAGTGAGTTTTATTTAGTCAGCTTGTTTTGAGCTCAGGGGCTTCTTGTCCCAACAAAGACGCCCCTTTACAAGATTTTCCTATTGAAATATTTGTTTTAATTTTACAGATAATTTACTTCATTCTTAAGGGGGCATCTTCCCCCATCTCACCTGACTTTACAGAATTTCAAAATCAAATTAAAAAATAGTGTTTTCCTTTTTCAAGTAGGCCTGTCACCACCTTAAACCCGTTTACTTTGAACACATCAGTTTTCAGCATCTTTTTGTTTCGTGGCAGCTGCGTCAAGTTGAAACAATTCTCACCGGAAACGCAGACATTAGACGTTATAAAATAAAAGCATTTAAAAAAAATCTGGCTAAAGATGCATATTTATGACCAACTTTCTCTTTGAATCAAAAATACTTAAACATTTTCAGAGCAACTGTTACGATAGAAATTGTGTGAACGTCCGCTAAACCATAGCTAAACCTAGGTTTTATTTTGAAGGTCTCTGCCTGTATCGCGTTGTTCTGTCGGGTTAGCTTGACACTGCACATTGTTGCTAGCAGCCACGTCTCATAGTCAGGTGCACAGATATGGGTAGATAGGTCATAATTTGTGTATGGGTGTCGTGTCATTTACCACCTCCTCATGTTACGGAATATGGCTGACAGCAATGCTGGCTTTGTTTCCACTCCGCTGCTTGTCATGTTACCGCAAAAAAACAACGGCTAGCTAACGTCGGTGTCCAACTTCCTCTTTTATAACCCTCGCTGCTAGTTGAGGTTACTGTATTTCTCAAGTTGAAGCACCCAGAATCAAAGAGAGGTAAGATTTCTGTACGTCTTGAGTTTGCGTGTGTGTGCTGGCAAGTTGACAGCATTTGAAATCTCGTTTGCAGGTAGCGTTACATTGTATGCTTGGCACTTGGGAACAAAGCTCAGCGTCAACGTTGAGCTCACTCGGCTGTTTACAGCAGGTCTGTGTGAGAGGATGTTCATGTTTGGGTCACCTGTTCCCCTCGGTCTTTATTTCAGCTACATGCTCAGTTTGGAGGCTCAAATCACTGTTTCCTTTCAGATGAGGAGCTCTGCTGGTGTAGCAATGTTAATGTGAATTAAGAATACCAAATAGTGTTTATAACAAGATGTTTGCAGTGTGTAATATTCAATAAACCAGTGATAAATACAGTAGAGAGTATGTAACAACACACAACAAACTGTCTGGAGTATGAATGTCAAGTAATAGGGAGTGATTAGAAAATATGCATCAAGTAATTGTATGTAAAATACATGTATCTGATATTTAAAAAGCTGTGCCAAGTGGATGGACAACCTCTAAACCTGCATGTGACAGTATGATAGAAAA